ACGGTTTCATGGGTATATCCGGCAAGTTTGACAAAAAGTGTCCTCGATTGCTGGCGAGACTGTGACAATTATACAGGGAACTTGCAGTAAATTGCATGGTGGGAGAAAAACATTCCTGTCCCAAATAACTGCTTTTATGTGACTGCCAAGAGGACAAAACGTAAACAGGGGAAGGATTAAACAGTCTGTCAATATAAACCCCTGATCAGCTATAATTGGGTTGCCAGTGTCAGAAAAACCTAGGTATTACCTAATCTTACTTCTGGACTAAAGGTGGTCATTACAGCCTTAAACTCTGAACAGCTGATGGGATATTTACTCCAGGTGAATTTTATCAGACCCATATCAAAGGAAAGTGTGAGAATCCATCCAACCCCTATCATTGACACTTGATATATCGAGAGAAAAGAGCAAGAAATCGAGGCATAACTTCCCCCTAGAGCCCATGGAATTCCTCTTACAGGTGTATGTAGGTAAAAATTGTGTGTCATGATGAGGAATGTAGGTAATAGGGCTTAGGTGACGGTGTACACATCATAAAGACACAAAAGCCTCCATTAACGAGGGTCCACGCTATCCAGCCTGCTCTATGGCTCTGTAGGATTAGTTGTGATAAGACAGCTGGCTCGAGCCACAGACTGTCAACACAGAAGAGTTCCATCTGGCCCTGTGCTGACCTCTAGTGGAGACAATATGGAGGAGGAGGACGGAGGATACTGCACACTGTCTCCTACTTCTGAGGTAATTTAAGGGGGTAGGGTCCAGTTTTAGGTCTGAGGGATAATTTTGTGCAGGTCTACAGGTGATGGTGCACCTATAAACCTATTGGTACTTCTGTTGGTCTGCAATTTAATTTTCTTCTTTACTGTGTGTTACAGATTTACTTTTGGAATGTGTGTTGTATATTTATTTGATTAATAATGGAGAAAGATGCACCTTGGTGTTTACTGTCAGTTGATTCAACCATGCAAATTATTCAAGGTTTAAAAGTTACTTTTGCATTTAAAGGGGAAAAATATTAAAAATTTTATTACTGTCTGCAGTTTCAGATGTATAGTATTGCACAGTCATTTAAAACTTTAAGGCATATATTGTGACTTGTTAGAAGATAATTTCACTTTTATAACTTAAAAAATGTTGCTAGTTTCAGTTTATTGGAGGATTTTTTACGCAGATGAATTTTTATTTGATTATACAAAACAATTAGTTAGTACTGTTAATGTCATTTTTCGTGTGTCCATGTAAACATAAATTGAAATATTTAGTTAAAGGTCGTTGGTCTTTTCTGCTGCAGCTGTGGATGACTAAAATGGCAGGATAGTTATTATAAGCCAGCTGTTGTTTTGGAAAAAAAAGAAATTTAAAAGCAATCATCATAAAAAAAGGGTTTAATCTCCATATCAGGGCTTCAAAAAAATCTTTTTATTCACTATGAAAGCAAATGAAGATTTTGTGTTCCCTTAGAGAATTCAGGCGGAACTGTTGATGAATGAGTATTTTATATTAAGATCATGCAAATTGTGGTACATGAAAGGTAGTATTTAGCCTAAGTCAGTGCTTGGCAGTATCTTCAATACACATGTAGGTAATTTCTTTGATGTGGAAAGTCCTGATTCATTCAGCTGCAGGACATATTGCACACTTCCTACACCACTGTTACAGCAGTTCCTTATACAATAGGAAAAACAGTGGGTAGGGAACATGATGAATACAAAATCTTAGTAATTTAGAAATATAGGTGTGAATTTGGTGAGTTTTTAGAAATAGTCATTTAATCTGAAGTTAATGAAGCCTTAAATGCGAAAGTATGACCGAATCCGTTGAGTGTAAAATGTGGGTTACATGATTGTCTTTAAATGTTGTGCATTTACAGCTCAATTTAAGAATGGAGAGGGTGGTATATTATCAATGCAAGATTTTTTTACCATTTTTGTTCTAATTTTATGTGTTCTTTGTCTATTTTTACCTGTAAAAATCAATTAGTGACACACTGTGTACACTGAAAACTGTCAAGCACTGAAATCTCTCATACATTGATCTATGGATGCTAACTAACCCAATTGTCTGAAACTTCTTATTAAATAATTGAGTTAAAACATTGTGTTCAAGAATGACCAGGCCAAGTATTGATTGTGTGACCAGGGTATAATCCGGTATATCCCGTACCCTGAAATCATAACATTCAGACTCAATTAAGTGTTTGTCTCATTGATTACTCCGGTATGCAGGTCCAGTGTGTGTCATATGGATCAATGATAGACCCAGAATTGATCCTGAATTTATATTAATTCAGGTATCATTTGAAGCCATAATGCCATAAAAAATCAATTTTCACCTCCATTGACAGGAGAGTTTTTTTGCAACAAAAAAAGGAGAGGTGGCAGATGCCTTGCTTCTGCTTTCAGTGGCCTGTCTCAGTGTCTGAATTTTGTTGTCAAACACGGGGCTTAATTTTGGGGAGTTAAATCGGATTGTTTGGGGTATATCTACCTGACTGTATGTTTCATTATACCTGAGTGACCCTCATTATCTCTTGGTTAATATTTACAACAAGACAATCACAGGTAAGTAATACTTGGACACGTAATCCGATTTCATTTTGTCAACATTCGCTATACAATGTATGATTCGAGGGGGGTAGATATTTCTCAAGTGGATATTGTCAAGACTCTTGATGTTGTAAAATTTCACTAATGAGTATGTATATACATACATGAAGGAGACATTCTTGAATATTTTAAGTGGTCGAAAAGGCTCTGGAAGGTTATAAGTGTTGGATGGAAAATGAAAAAGTCAACTGAATTATTATTGGTGGGGGGTGTCAACAGACAATGTATCTTTGCATTGGCACATAATAACTTTATATGGTTGCGTTTCCTAAAAAGATTGAATTTTTCTTCATTTAGTATAATCAAGCATTTAGGAGTGGGGAAAACATACGTTTGACCGATTTCTTTGGGCAGTTGTTCCATGTACTTGAGGCCCCTTTCACCTTTCTAACAGTTTTTTGATGGGTTTGATAATTTTGGGATGGATAATGATTTTTTTCCTTTTAATTTTTTTTTTTTTTTGGCCTTGACAATGATGTATGAGAATTTAATTGAATTCTGGGTCACTTACCATGTGCAGGCACCTGCATTCCCCATTTGAAAAAAACACGACAATTTTCAATTTCTATGCCATCATCCAAGAGGAAACAGTTAGCATTAGAAGCCATTATTATCTGCGGCTTATATAGCCTTGCTTTCAATTAAAATTTTTTTTTGCTTTTGTCCATGATTTATGAGTTTTTTTTTCCTTTTGAAAATTGATCATTTTTACTACATACATTTTATGTTTGTCATCTCCAGTTACAGTTTTTAGCTCATTTATTTGATTTTTTTCTCTTTAGATTTTTTATGTCATCACATTACATAATTGATTTAATAAGGTGTTAGGTGATCCGACCGAAAGTGCATGGCACTGAAGTGTGCCTGTGACTGAAATGAAATAATTTATTTCATATTAATTCAATGTTGGCCAAAAAAAGTTTTTTTTTAATCCATTTTTCTTCTGAAAAATTTCTTAATATACTGGAAGATGGTATATAACTGACAGTTATAGGATGTAATTATCCAATACAATGTATCAAGGCAAGTAATTTGTGTCATTTTTCTTACAAATGTGCACTTTATGTTCATCAGCATATACGCAGCACCTAATTTGGCCATATAAACATGTATTCAATTGGTCAATTTACCAACATGATACTAATAAGCAGCTGAGAACTTGTTTTGATCCATTGTTTTTAGCTCTTTTGCAAAGTAAACTAAATGTAAATACATAAACAGTTCGAAAACGTAATGGTTCTATTTTCAATTCAAAATGCGCAGATCTTTCACTATGCATAAAATTTTGATATCTAACTTCTGGAATTATATATTTGACATCAGATAAATAATTTCAACAAGAGGGAATATTTTATTTGTAATATACCTTGGTAGCAAGAAGTTGTTGTTTCAAGGGTATGTACTTTTCTCTATAACTCACTCAAAAATGGCATATTTATTTGAATTTTGGTCTTGTTGATATTAAAGTATGCAAATACTGGACCACTTTACATTTCTCTTTAAGATCTTTTGAAGCAAGTAAGCACAAGTTTATCAATTAACTGCTTAATGGCCATGCATTTAAGTCTTTATCAGATTTGATAAAGAGAGATAATTCATAAAGGGGCCCAATTCTGTGCTTTGGAAGTGTCAAACATGATGTGTCATTTGGGGTTATTTAAAACTCATATCTGATTATAGCGAGCAATTATTTGCTTGGGGTGAAATCAACACTTTTGACAGACATGCAGTTTTGAAATGAAAGGGCTACTGTTTCGAGAAAGAAAAATTGATATTTAAACTGTTTCTTTATATGCTTTTAACTTTTTCCCCCTCCCAACGTTTTGATTGATAACTGTTTGCATGCACGTCTCCAAAAAATTTTTTCCCCTCAAGTATGGCAAACCTTTCTTTTTTGATAATTTTTTTTACCTGTTCCAAAATAAACCTGATGTCAACTGCATTGATGAAAGGCAGGTATACAAAAGGCTTTGATGTTAGACATCGTCATGGCTCCAAACAAATCTGTATCGATGCATGTCCATTCTCTGGAGAATTACTTGATTATTGTAAAGACAATAGGCTGTCCCTTTTGCACAGGTATCTCCACGGTAAAACTTCAACCAATTACTACAACAAGCTTGCAAAAGCCCAATTTCTTATCGATGAACATTTGTTTACTCAGGTAACAGCTAGTGTGTATCACATGATAGAAAGTTATCTGGTATGTTTCATTTGATGAATTATTTAGAAATACTATGGACTGACACACTCTGACACATGTACTGTTAAACAGTTTGTAAGAAGACCATGTTGATGAAAGTTTCTCCTGTGTGAGTTGATTTCGCACTGCTCCTGTAAATATTTTGTGTTGTTGACATGTATTCAGAAATTTTTCTTTTCTCTTTCCAGTCTCCTGCAAAGGGCATAATTCGACCAATCGCCTTCAAGCCAGTGGTCATCTCCAATCACAACTATGTAAATACTCGTCACTTTGACCACAAGACTCCGCAACAGGACGATGGCTATTACGGGTCACAGGACTACCCGATGACCAATCAGAATGTAGCAGACATGTCACATGGGTCTCTGCATTTTGATAGTGATAGGTCAACAAACTACTCTAGTGATAGTCAAAAACTGTACACCCCTGAGAGACCTGAATCCACCCGTTCCTCCTGCATTAGTCATGCCTCTTCACTGAGGATGGAGGGATACATACAGACCCCCTCACCCAGTGATTCGGGGGTGGGGGAACTTGAAGCCATGCTGAAAGAAAAAGATGCCGAGATCAATACGCTGAGGGATGTCATGGATAAAAATGAACGTGCCATATTCCAGGTATATATCAATTGTATAATGTACACAGTGGTATGTGCAATATAATCTTCTTGATCAAATGGCAAAAAAATTTAGTCACATTCAGTTGTAACTTTATAGTCTGATTTATGATGGAAAGGATCACTGAGCAAATGTAGTAAAAGAAATGTTATAATTTTTTCTGAAATATAATATTTTATATTGAGTGTACTATGTTGTGCTTTTAGGTCTATGAAGAGAAAAAGAATTCATGGAGTCAGGAAATAAAAGAGGTGAGGGATGAATACGAGAAGAAATTAAAACTAGAACAAAGGAAAGCCTACAAAACAGAACAAACTCTTTCTCTTCAAGTTTACAAATTACAACAGGAAAAAAAGACATTGAATGAGAAGATGGAAGAAATGCATGCACAATACAAAAAACTACAGCAAAGATGCGACTCTTACGAAAAAGAGAATGATAGTTTACGATCGGAGGTGGTCAATGTTTCGCTACAAGGGGACAGAACTGCTGAAGATATGGAAGATCTTCAACACCAGGTGGAAATTCTCAACCAAAGCCTGTCGGAAAAATCCATAGAAATTTCTGAGCTGGAGTCAAAATTGTGTCAAATTGAGTCAGAAAATCAAAAGAAAGACTACGAATTAAGTGAACGATTTAGAGAAATTGTGGCCAAAACAGACGAATTGAAATCCTTACGTGCTAACCTCCGCCGTGTGTCCAATAATAATGTGATGGATATACTTGACTGTAGCTTTAATCAAAGTGGGGAGGAGTTCTCTGCCCCTGAGGAGAGGACTTCTCCCTTAACCAGCAGTAGGCTGACCTCCCCAGTGAATCACAGACTACCAAACGCCTCCCCCCTTAATCTCAGCAACAAATCCACGTCCTCTCTGAGCAGTGAATCAGACAAGGACAAGACAATTTCACATCTCCAGAAAGAGCTGGAGGAATTAAAAGAAGGACTAATGGGGAAAAACGAGTTGTTTGAGAAGGAAAAAGAACAGTGGTTAGATGAGAAAAATAAAGTGATTCGTTATCAAAAACAACTGCAGCTGAACTATGTGCAAATGTACAATAAGAACAAAATGCTTGAAGCCGAAGTTGAACAACTGACTTTGGAGCTGGAAAGTCGTGACATGAAGCTCATGGCAATAAACGGGGAAGAGTCAATGTGTTAATGGTGGGAAATTCTACAATTGTTTACAACTGACTTGTGAAAATTTGACGTATTTCTCAGTTTCGTAGAAAGGTTCACCGAGAAGAAAAAAAATGTGTTCCATTTGTAATGTGCTAGCCCTTTATTTAGTACTGCCATATTGAACGTTACAGTACCATGGCGTCTACAAAATCAATTGCATTAGACCATTTTGTGATAGGATAATGTTCTTGAAGTGTGCATCAATTTTCTCTGCAGACAGAATTGAGTCACGCTGATTTTGGAAACTTTCCAGAATGTCAAGAGATTATGAGAAAAGCTATCATTAATTAATGTTTGCCAGCTTCTTTCAAAGTCGTGCTGACAAGTAGTTATTTATGTCACAATGTAATGTGTACTACATATTTTTTCTACAAATCTGTGGTCTGGGCAAAAAATAAAGTGAAATCCTTGATCTGTAAGATAAAAAGCTCAAGGCTAATTTTTACCAAAAAAAGATTTGGTAAAGTGATATATGGTTATTTAATTCATAAGTTAGATATGACTCAACTATACACAGGAGAAAGTGTGCCAAAAAGAGTATAACAAACAAAGAAAAGAAATCCATCTATTTCGTCTAAACAAAGACTTCAATTGCATAAGACAGTCTTGTTTTCTTCTCTTTTATAAACCCTATGTTTTCTTGTTACGCAAAAAACTGAAACTTAGTAAGAGTTAAAATTAGCTAAGTGTGCTGATGCAAGACATTAAAGCCTTTATTTACATATGTCTAATCTTTATATTTGAATATATGTCAAATATAGAGGGATGAGTCTGGTTTTTCCTAATCAAAATAATGAGTTGAAGTAATGTATTCCTTATACAAACTTAAACAAACATTACCCCCCTCTCATCCACAATAGAATGTCTACAGTGGGTAAATATTTTCTTAATAGCAATATTTTTTTTCCAGATGTATCAAAATATGTTTTATCTACAAAGAGATACATTTTTTAAACATATGAACTCCATTGTAATTTTATTTGAGATGACTGTATTAAAATGTATATGGAGGTATCTCCAAACCAAAAAGGTTAGGGAGGTCTTCTATCTAGTCATTTATTTCTTTGTTGTTACATGTACAGAAATACTGTCATATTAAAGCAAAAATTAATATAATGTGTTTTTGTTCTGATTTATTTTTTCCAGTTCAACTACATACTGGTAATAAAAGGAAAAAAAAGCTAATATAGAAGCTGACAGCATGCTTGGTACATATCTGCTATAGGAGGATAAACTTAGTTACTGCCAATTTTTTAAGGACTAACAATATGTTCCTAAATAATATACATTTTTTCCCCAAGATTTTGTCATAGAAATATTGCTACTTTTACAAGTTCACAAAAGAAACGAGATACCTTACCAGGCATTTGTGCATGTATGAGGATGATGTTGCCTTTATAATACCGAGCACTTAAGAAAATAACTTACATTGCCAAAATCAAAATTTTTAGCATTTTAGAAGACAATTAGAATTCATTTTAGAAATTGCAAGGTAATTATAATTTTAAATATCTTGTACTATACTGTAAACCAACTTTTATTGGTGTGCGAGAAGTTTTCGCGAGAGTCACATCATCACGTTTCTCACCACGAACAGGTCCTTAAGTCTCTATGTCTATTAACAATAGATCCAGAAAAGAATTGATTGCAAAAAAAATCGTTGTGAACTAGTTTACTCCTGGTAAATCATGAAATAAAGTCATTGCAATTAAAAGTTGGTTTACAATATATTACCAAGATATACAAAAAGGGAAAACTGAGGAACGTATCGTCTGACCTTAAGTGCTCTCTAGATTTTGCTACATTGGAAGGTAAGAGACTCTCAAGAAAATAATCAGTGTGCCATAGTGGTTTGGGAAGGGGAACATGATAAGTACACAATCATCCAAAATCAGATTTAGATCGACCTTAAAATCTATTGTTTATGAAAGCTTGCTTTTTTTTTTCTTGGAAGTTAATTGGATAACCTCTTTTATTGTACTACAGAACGTAGGATTATCCAACACTGAAGTGAGAGGAGGATCTGCATTTTGGAAAAAAAAAATCTGGTTCTAGGGCCATAACACAGTCAAGTTCACTTCAGGCCCCGGGTCTATGAAATTTAGACAAGCTCAATTTGGAGCTCAGTCTCACTTTTCCATTGTATATTCCTTCTGTAAAAGTGAGATTGATCAAAAAAAGCTTTAAATGTCTTAGGTTTATGGCACTGGAGCCTGACTGCACATATTGGTTTTGTCAAAATTTTCTCTAACTCTTCAGCTCAACTGGAAATTTGGGATCAGTGTCTGATGACTTTCAGGTATTTAAAATTGTCATAAGATGCCATTTTATTAATATGCCATTTTTAAACTGATTGCCTTTCCACTATATCGGGTAAAAAAAGAGAGATCAACAAGGACAAGGGAAATAACTCTTATTAGGCTCAAACAGTTCTAAAGCATTTCAATTCAAAAGTTGGGACTTTCATTCATCAGAACTTAAGCTACATCTCAGACAATGAATAAATATGGACTGCATGTTTTACACAATGATTTTTTATTTTGTTAAAGTTGAATTAGAAGATGGACAAAAACTACAACATGGATCTTTTTTTTAAATTTATGATGACTTAATTGTATGAAAACTCATATATATCTCTCTCGCTGCTATGTTTATAGAGTACTGTATATTACACCATGTTAATGTTTTTGTTTTTTTTTTGTTCAAAACAGCCCTACAGAATGGTGGGCCTAACATTTTATTCCAGCTAACTGGGGAGGGGACACCATAGTACCCTCCAAGTTCCAGAAACCTGGAAATTCGGCATCATGCATGGATAACTTGCTTTGAACAGAGACATAAAACACAGGGAAATTACTGTGTACAATAACAGACAGATGGAGAAAATCTGGATTGAAATATAATTACCAAGGTAATGTCCAACTTCATCAAGACAGTTAGTCATCATTTTAATGAAGTTATGGAAACTGTGTTAAGGGCAGTAACTCTGACAGAGACTTGGTTTAGCTATACCCAGAATCTGTGGTGATCCTGTATTTCAAATATTTCTGGCCATATTATTTGCTTATCTTAAAAGATTTTTAGAACTTCCATATCAAGGTTCATCTCTACTTTCCTCCTCAAAGTAACATTTTTTCTGTTTTAGGAAAGGTTTGTGTGTGCATGGGAAAAAAAGGGGGGGAGGCCCGGTTTGACATAAAACAGACTTTTACCTTGGCCCAGGAGAGGTAATTCAAGACTGAGTACCTGTTCTCAATTGAATCTGAGTCAAAGTTCTTTGAAATTAGATAGTTGGTATTTTAAAATCTTTTGACGAATGTTACGTACATTAAGGAAAGTGTGGCACAGCTATGAAAGAGTTTAAATGGCTGCATTTTCTAAGTAATTACTGTATATTCATGAAATGTTTCATTAAAATTATGTCTATACAAGAAGTTGACTGCCATACAAAGACTGAATAAATTAGACCTTAGGAACATGTGTAGGTTGATATTTACCAAGAAAAGCATATGAATTACAAAGTTAAATATAGGAGTATCTAACAGTATGTTAAATTAAATACATCTATATTGATATAAATAACGGAGTATTATGAATAATATTTTGCAAGGCCTTGCACAGACAAGGTAAGAAATAAGAATTTTATCTTTAAATATATATTTGTATACTTTATAATATGTCTACCTTATTCAGGTATACCTATGCATAACTACCTTTTCAGTAGTCTTAGTGCTACAATGAATTCATCAAATTTTTCACATGCAGATTACAGCCCTATAAAGCAAAGAATAAAACCTATAAAACTGCTCCCTAGAAATACAGAAAACACATAACATCTAAAATATTCCTTTTAAAAGTGAAATTTGAATTGCAAGTATAGATTGATAGAGAAAGTTTAAAGATTATGTGAGGTGTCCTTCTGTCAAATATTTGATCTTTTTTTATAAGATGAATAAAACCCATTGATCCACTGTGACTATTCCTGAATATGGGGATGTTTGCTTATTGATCAAGTTCATAAATTTAATGACATTGTTGAGAGTACCCAGGTATGTGAATATTTTAAAGAGGTGAACTTCTGAAACTACTTGTGCTAATGTCTGGAAATGAAATTTTATATCGTTATAGGAAAACAAGAAAGTTTGCTGGAGTCTCAGAAAATACACAGGTTTGTATCAATGCATGTTAGTTATTAATCAACTATATTACGACAGGTAGAAAAATAAGCATATACATGTACTGGTAAATGCATTTGCTGGGCACTGTTATGTATTATACATTTGCATTAGAGTTCAATATTTTTAAAGATTATGCATTGGTTGACATATCATTTATTGCTCTGAAACAATTCCTCACCACCCACCCCTTTCAAGTTTCTATAAAAAATTATTGTTGCTTAAGTTTTTACCATGAGAAAGAAGGAGGAAAGGGGATTATGGAATTTTCTTTGGAGTGGACCTATTTTGTAAAAGAATATTTTCTGGGTTTTTTTGTTAGATTCGAGCTGAAATAACAGAAAATGCCAATGAAGATTACATTAATGTTCGACCAAATCCTACATGTTACCAATGCCGAAAGCTGGTGGAGGAGGTTAAAAGGTTAAAACGAATAATTAGAGAGGGACACAGTTTAACACACTTAAAGAATCCAGGCTGGTATGATGTACTTTTCTTCATAGATTACAAAAGTGTTAATGATGTAACAATGATTAAATATTTTCTATACAATAAAATGAAAGAGATTTTATGCATTTATTGTCTGAAGAGCTGTTTTGAAAGTTTTCATGCTGCCCATTGCAGTACAGTTGATCCTCAGTATCTTGAATAGTAAATATGTCAGGGGTATATACTTTGTTGTATATTCAAGATCATAACTTGCAGCAATTGAGCTCAACATATAGACGTAAAATCTTGATTGATATTCAAGCATATTTTCTACAGAGAGATAGCATTGTCAAGTATTTTAAAATTTGTATAGTGTGTTCATTAGATGATCACTCCTCCATGGCACCTGATCCCATGCACCTCAATCTTGAAGGTCTGTGTGTGCTCTGTTCCCCATTAGTATTGTTTGGATGAATATTTGTAACTTTTAAATGGAATTTGGAGCTTGAATGCTTTTGATTGTTATCTCCATGTTTTAGCGTATTATAGTGACATGCAGTGTCATTGTTTGAGAAATCATGTTAGTTAACTTTCACCTCAGTTTGTCTCTTAGTTTTATATTGAAGCTGTATGCTAAATATAGAATATAAAATTACTCTCTGCATGCAGGGAAAATGAATATGTTGAGGACCCAGAGCAAATCAGTCCGAGGGTCAACGCAGCGTTTGTGTACAAGAAAAGTCGAACAAGGACAGAGGAGATTGAACAGCTACGAAAAGAAGTCACGCGTCTTCAGAGAGAATTGCGTCTAAGGTCAGAAGAGGTGTATGCTCTGAGGGGAAGAGGTCAACTGGAAGTACGGAGCACCAGTCAATCAAAGGGAACCAGCAAATCACACTTGTATGAAATCCACTCTACTTTTCTATACTGTAGATCACTCATTTTTCGTGACACCTTATTTTCTCAAGATAAATATGTACTCTTTATTCCTGGGAAAAAAATTTAAGGAATTGTGATCACTGCTTTTTTTTTTAATCTTTAGGAATACTATAAAATAAGCAAGCTAGAATGAGATTTTTCCAAACACAGTCTCAAATAATAGCACAAAATATAGTTCCCATAAATAAAAGTGATTAACAGTAGTTTTCGTATATATTCACAAAATTTAATGACTATAAATAAGACATAAAGTTACCAACATTGATTACAGTGAAAAGGGAATGAATAATGATTTTGCAATTGTTGATGCTTCCTTTAACCAACAAATTCCCTTAAATTTCGATTTTTTTGTTCAAATTTAAAGTTACACCATACAAGTTTAACAATTAAAGACTTACATGAGAGATTCTGCTATTTACATCCCCCCTTTGCAAGATAATTATTATATGCATAATTAATTTCCTGTGAAATTAAAAAAAACTAAAGAAGTCTAATTTGACAATTACCATTCATTAATTATCTTGATATTTCATTTACCTATAGAAGAGATCACCACACCCTTGGTGAATCAGAAAACAACATGAGAAGCATGTACACACAACTGTACCAGAAAGAATGGAGTCAGACATATGCCTATCAAATGCAAGAAGGTGTTGAAAAGACTGTTGCCCATGGAAACCTACTCAATATCCTTCAGGTAGGTATAGTTGATCAACTTATTGAAGGTCTTCAGGTAAGTTTAGCTGGTAAACGGACTCAGCATCCTTTAGATAGGTTTAGATGATAAACCTACTCCTTCAGGTAGGTTTAGATGATAAACCTACTCAACATCCTTCAACTAGGTTTTGCTGATAAACCTACTCCTTCAAGTCATATGTTGAGTCATTCAACTCAACATCCCTCAGGGAGGTTCAGCTGATAAATCTGGTCTATATCACTCAGGAAGATCTAGCTAATATACCTACTCAACAGGTAGGTTTAGGTGATATTTTGTGGATTTATACAGTAAAAAGGTTTTTAAAGTGCATTTTTCTTTAAATATGCATATTTTTTTGATACAATTTTTCCTAAAACATATCTTTTTTAAAATATTTGTTTTCAAGTGATGCTTTCTATCTATTAATCAATGATTAATTGACAACTTTCCAGAGGCTATCCAAGTCCAACTTGCCTTCATTGATAAACATATTTGGCAATGATGGCTTTCACTTAAAGCACAGAATTACTTAAGTGTATTTTTTGAAAATATATGCATTTTTAAAAAGATTTTTTCTCGATAGATATTTTTCTAAGTATTTTTTATCAAGTGATACTTTCTATCTGTTAATGATATATTCATAAACTGTAAAAGTTTTAACTTTATACCTCACATAGTTTTGGAGCTATTGAAAAAATAAATTTTTGGACATGTTGACCTTTGACAAAACCTTATATTTGACATTCTGACAAATCATGTGACCCTTATACATGTATCGAACACGCGAAAACTACAACCTCGCACAAGTATAATGTGGGTGGTTTTTTTTATAGTTTTTTTTTGTTTTGAGAGTACCGTTCTCCATGATAGCTAGAGTGAAAATCATGGGATTGACCCAAAAAAGCAATTGTATTATATTGCTTTCCTCCACTTGGGGAGATCGAATGAACTATATTTCAACAGATTGAGGTATTTTCAATAGTCATCAATAATTCTTCTTATTTTTCACATAGACCTTTGTAGTCTTCACATTTGATGTGAAGTTATGAACATTATATTGATTTTATTAATGATATTAATTTTTCTTTTCAAATTACTAGTATGCTGTTTTCTTTTTATAATGATATCAGAACACTACTGTATTTTATTATTTAAATAAATCAAAATCAAATCAAATTATTGTGATTTTTAACACTAATTGGACCTCTTGCTGCTGCAGTCATGAAGTTAAAATTAATTATTTGTTGATAATAATTAATTTGATATTATAATTTTGCACAATATACATATTTTCTAATTTGTAAAATTTATTCGAAGTTTTCAATAACAGTTAATATCAAAATATTTATAAAGATTCCATTATAAAATAAAGTTTTTATTAAGATAGCTTCATATTAATGGTTAAAGATGAAACTAGAGATACTGTGAGCAATGAGCTCACTAAATGATACCCCCGCCTCCCATATGGTTATAATGGCAAAGTCCATGTTTTGCTGTGGCCGGGAAACCCAAAATATGTGTCAGATCAAAAAGTAAAATAGGAGGTGCACAATGGCAATATGTAATAAAGGTTCTGTGAAAGTTTCATTAAATTTCACTCAGTGGTATAGAAGGAGTTGCGGATAAGAGATGGTACCCCAAAGCGTATCAGACAGACGGATGGAGGGTTGGATGGATAGACGGACAGCTAGACGGACGGACAGACGAACATACCGATTACAGTATACCCTCCCAGTTTTCAAGTGTGGGGTATAAATATAATTTATAGGGCATTGTAATTATTATAGAAGCAGGATTTCATAAGAAATAATTTATATGAATATCTTTTAATAGTTTTGTTTGTAATTTACACTCTGCAATTTAGAAATATCCAATTATCAACTTCTGGGTGATAATTTCAGTAATAGAGGGTTTTACTGTGACGCACGAACACTGATTTAAAGTAATGTCGCAACTGCAATAAATTCTTTAATGATCGAAAATAAAAAAAAACATTAATTACACTTTTGTCTCTATAAATTTGAACTTCATTCAGAGTTATGCAATATTTTATTTAATCTTAAAAGTTACTTTGGGTCTTGTTTTTCGCTACCAGGCAAAAAAAAAAAACACTTATTGTTTCTCTTCTTAACTCATTTTGAATCTGATGAATTACATGTATAAGATTTACGCCAAAAGGATTGAATTTAGGAATTATGTTACAATTTGTATGATATAGCAATAACATTTATACAAAGTTAAATGAATTTAATATTACAACTCAAACCAAGACAGTTTTTAGCAAATAACAGTCAAGAACGCATGAGAAGTAAAACGATGGTGGATAAACTGAAAATGAGTGTCAAAAGTCTATTCAAGCATTTACTTATCAGAAGCAGATCAAACATGGACCTCTAAAACATCAGAGTTGGGATCAGATGCCATGGAGGAGTGAGCATCTGCTGCCGACTGGTCACACTGACCGCCATGTGCTCCTTGTTATGATCGGTTAAATGAAAAAAAAATCCATGATCTAAACATTGGTATGAAAAATGTCAGTCCGCATTTGACAACCAGTTTTGTTATATGGATGTGAAATATGGGGATTTACAAAAAATACTTTAATTGAAAAACTTCACTTAAAATATTGTAAATATATACTAGGTTTGAATACTAAAACGCCAAATTACATGGTATCTGGGGAACTTGGCAGATTTCCACTTATCATTAATATTAAGGTGAGAATGATTTCTTTTTCAGCAAAACTACATTTTTCTCAAACGATGGATAAATTTGCTACAAAAATGTTTGTACTAGCATCAAGGCATAATTTGCCTTGGGCTAATTATGTTAAAAACATTATAGATGATTGTGGATTATCTTATTTATGGACAACACAACAGATGTACACTGTAGCATGGGTAAAAAATGAAATAAAAAGAATACTTGTTGACCAAAATATCCAAAACTGGCAATTTTAGTTATGTTTTATCTTATCAAAGGGTGTAAATTATCATATTTATAAAGAAATACTAGAACCAGAAAGATATCTTGTTAATCTACCTAGAAAATTTTCAATTTTGTTATGTAGATTTAGATGTAACAACTTTAAACTCCCCATTGAAACTGGGAGATGGAATGGTCTTCCAAGAGAACAAAGTATTTGTACTTCATGTGATCTTTATAAGATTGGTGATGGATTCCATTAAGAGGCTAGGTTAAAATATATTTCAAACTCTCTCACATGTAGACCAAATATAGAGAAATTTAAGCAACTTTTTACAACAACAAACTGTCCAGCATTGAAAAAATTATGTAAATTTTTATTGATTGTCAAACAAATTATAGATGAAAATAATTGACTTGAACTTTAACATGATATTTTGTACTGTTTATTATACATGTATTATATTTTTTTTTCTATGTGTTTGTATCTTTTCCTACCTCCTCTCTACAATGTAAGAGAATAAATCGTCATTGTCATTGTCATTGACTCAATAGAATAAGCTGTAATTAATTGCTGAGAATATCATTATTTCGACCAAAGAATCTCAAGCATCCCTATGATGCCAACCCCAGAGTACTTGTATGATTTGTTTTGAACAAAATAATTTTTCAAATGACCAATGACAAGGTAAGCAAACTCACAAGTTCCAATTTTATTGCAAAAGCAGCTGCCAATGATGTCAAAAAGCTTGGACTTTTTAGTTTGTGGTGAATGGTTGTATAAAGATCTAAAAAGTAGCAAGATTTGATGTTATTAGTTTAGTTTTTTAAAATTTCAATTTTTTAAAAACATGTAAAAGTTGAATATTTATTTTACATTAACCATCCACTTCTTAAATATTTATATTCTGTACCCCTGAAGTTTCTCTTTCAATGCTGTTAATATTCAAGCGAGGAGTAAAAAATACATGTATGCTTGGTAGATCATTATCTAGAACCGGCTATGTATCTTTATTTCTAAGGATTTTTATGAAATGTAGAAATGCTGTATATGTGATAACTCTTTTAAGGAGATTCGATTTTGGCTTGGACCTTTATTTCTAAAATTCTGCATCATTTTTAAGTTCTAACATTATCAAATCTGGATTCTACAATGCAAATTGAACTACATTCAATGAAAAAAAAGACAATTAAATACCATTCAAGTAGGATTAACCCAGGAACTATGGTTTGTGGCGGGAGGTTGTTTTTTTTTAAGAAGAAAATGATCCATTTTCCCCTTTTGAACTCTATACAGTACTGTTAATTTTAGAATCAGATTTCCAATTTTTCCATGCTGGTTGCCCACAAAGCTGTTTTTTCCTTCAGTGACTAAATATATATTAAATTATTTCCTATGGATTCTTTCAACGAATTATGGCAAAAATAGGAAATATATTTTCTAGAAGTCGAGGAAAAAATTGAGCCAATTTTTACATAAAATTGACACCTTATTCGTAATACATGTATCTAAAAATTTACATCATATACCCCCTCCCCCCCCCCCCCCCGTTTTCATGTTCTTTTCTGATTATTTAAGATAACTCTGACCATTATGCGTAAATTCAGCAAATGTTGGACTTCAAAATAATTTTCTTGCTCATTAAATTTTCGATGCCAGAAAAATCCCATTTGTGAGTGCAGAAAGGTCAAATAATTGATTATGCGAAACAATTAAGCTATGTGTAGAAACTAAAAATATACTTGACAAAATAAGTTTAAGACTTTAAATATCAGGAGCCAACCTCGTTAAAACTGACATAGAATTTACCCGTAGAAAGGGAGCTATGACTTATAGGAGATGAAAAATCAAGTCTCGTGTATAAAAAGAAATCATGTAAAGACGATGCTCACACACATCCATGAAAACCGTGAGAATAACTATCATTATAAAAAAGTTCTACTGTTATACAAACTTGAGAGACATTAAGCACCAACTGGATATAGACATTATGCATATGCTTGAACAGAAAGATGGTGTAGTTTCTTAACTCAGGAAAGTTTAAAAATTGATAAATGGAGAAGAGTCACATTTCCCTAAAATCTTTATCTTCTTTTTTATAGTTGTCCTTCAGTCAGTGTCGGGATATTGCTGACAGACAGCTGTCACAGATCCTGCTGGCCTCCTCTGTAGTGATTTCCGATACACCACCTCGCATCACCACAAAGACACCACAACAGACCACCACAAAGACATCACCTCAGACTTCCACAAACCGGCAACAACAATCAAAACAACACCTAGTGGTAAATGAGTATCAACCAATTTTTTCCAACTGCCAACTTTCTGTTGATAAAATTTGTGTTTTAATGTTCTTGTTTTAAAGAGAGAAAAAAACTGGTATAATCTTAGAAGTTTATTTTAACCTTTTCAGGGGCTTGAAATATTTTATAATTAAACGCTGCAGGTTAACCGTTTAACTAAAAAAAGTGTACAGTGACAAACGTATTATCCTAAATCAGATTATGTTAATTTAGTTCGTTTTAATGTTTGTCTATTGAGAAATGTTCACTCTTATTGCGATTCAACCATTTGCCCGTGGAGGACTGCAAAATGAAATCTGTACTTGGCACTTATGGCCTTTGAGCAGTGGGGAATCTTTTGTGTGCCCCCATCCGGTTAATTCAAAATTTAGAACATGACACAAACACCTACTGCGACATGCGAAATCTGTCCCTTCGACATGGATATCCAATCAGAGAATTTTGAAACCACCTCGTTTTAAGGAAGAAAATGCAGCTGCATGTATCAGAACAATCCGTCTTTTCCTTAAATTTCGATATGTCAGCAAAGGAATTGACGCGCTTAATATAAGTGATATTCTTAATTACAAAAGGGTCCATTTTTGTATTCCAGCATAGTTCAAGTTAAAGACTACACCTTGTATTTCCTACAAGTATTCATCGTCTATTGCTTCCAAACTTGTAAATTACAAGAAAACTTTATAGGGGCTGGATATAGAACATCCGAAACATAATCCTCCATTGTGTTCATGTATATGTGTGTGTGTGTGGAGGGGGTTTAGTGGTTGACAAGCAAGAAAAAAAACACCTAACCTTGTCCAAACGTGAATATCCTATTTCATGAGGGGGTGGTGGGTAGTACTAACTTAACACAGGTCCGCGTTTTCGAGGGAGTCTCCGTTTTCTAGAGGGGGGGGGTTCCAAGGTAACTTTTTACTTGGTTTAGTGTATCAATTTAATATCTCTGCAAATTCCAAGGGGGGGGGGGGTCCGACCCCCCCCCTAGATCTGCGCATGGACCTTAGATCACATATTTAAAAGGTCATAAGTATATGGAACCCCGATCCTTCAACTGGCGTCGGAATTTGATAAATATTATGGATTCTGTAGAAGGTTACGCCAGGGGATGGGTCAGACATGAACAAAAAACTTTGAAACTTTGTCAGAATGGATTAAATGAATAAGATAGGTGTTAAACTGCGCATTAAAAGATTGGGGGAGGGGTATGAAAACCATCTACCATTCTGTATTCAGTACCAGAAGTGAAAAAAAGAATTACGTAGATTACATGATCAGTACGTACCGGTCCCTGCTGACAAAGCAGGTAACAACATTGTCTTCGTTTGTAAGGCTCATTATATAAATTGTATTTTTGAGGAACTCTAATTTTAATTCTACCTGTGGTTATCCAAGAAGGATATGGAGATGACGAACAGTATTCAATACCAAAGTCCATAAAACAATACAAAATAGGAGCAGAGCAAACACGGACCTCCAAAACATCAGACTTGGGATGCCACGGCGGATTAAGCATCACTTGCTGACCGGTCACACCCACCGTGTGCTCCTTGTCATTATCGGGAAATAACGGAAAAATCTGTCGTCGATTCAGTGTATAAATAATGGACGACCAAGTAGTATTAAAAACGTCAGTCAGCATTTGACTCAATGATAAACTGTATTTGCTGACAAGGTCATTGTATCGACCATAGAACTTACGAAATGATGACTTTAAACGAGACTGCTGATAATCTTGTTTCATCAACTTGTTTGTCAATAATTTACCTCGTTTTAAAAATTGTTCATACATAAAGCATGCTCTTGGGTTTCGAATCAACTGAGATATATAAACTCCATATGCAGGTGATGAAGGTTTATAGCTGCATAAGTAAGGGACGTTTACGATAGAAAAGTTAAAGTCATCAAGTTTATCATAGAGCTTGGTTGTTAGATTACCATTCACGTCCTTTTCAAGTAACATATCCAAGTATGAAACAGAAACTTATACCCATAGCTCCCTTTCTAAGGAGGGAATTCTTCAAAATCATATGTCAATTTTGATTATTTTTAATATTCCAAACAACCAAAATGAATTTGAATGACCATATCTATATATATTGGATTCCGAAACTTCATAAATATCTTTACCAACAAAGATACATAGCGGGTTCCAGTAGATGTTTTACCAAGCCTCTTCCTTTACTCCTCACTAGAATATTAACAGTAGTAAAGGGAAACTACACGAGTACTGTGCAACAATATATTCGAAATGTTGTGTAAATCAGATGCGGATACTTAAATATTCCAAGAAACTTTGGGAAAGGTCACAAAATTTTACCAAAAATCAACAGCAGTAAAACTTAAGAGGCTTATTGATATCATTGATAAAAATAGAACTCGTAATTTTACTCATCTTGTCATTGGTTATTTGCAAAATAGAATTGTTAAAACATTCTGATTGTACACAAAGGTATTCTAAAACTGATATTAAAAGATGCTTGAGATTCTGATTGATAATATCTTTGTGGTTTTTGGAGACCAGGTTTTCCAACAGTCTATTGGAATTCCTTTTGGCACCAATTGTGCCCCGTGTTTAGCAGACCTATTTTTGTATTCATTTGATGCAGACTTTGTCCAAAATCTTGTATGTGAAAAGGAAAAACATTTGCTGTGGCCTTCAACCGACATTTAGATACTAATATTTCGACTACGTAGTGCCATGGACAATGGTTATTTCCATTCGTATGTCGATACGATATATCACTGTAAGCTTGAAATAAAATATACCACAGAGTCTGACACATCTGTTTCATATTTAGATATTTTGCTTGAAAAGGACGTCAATGGTTTTCTAACAACCAAGCTTTATGACACACGAGATGACTTTAACATTTCAATTGCCAACTTCCCTTACTTGATATGCAGCAATATACCTGCATACAGGGTTTATATCTCTCAAATGATTCGATACGCAAGAACACGTTATTGACAAACAAGTTGCCGAGACAAAAATATCAGCAGTCTCGTTTAATGTCATCATGTCATCGTAAATTCTATGATCGATTCAATGACCTTATCAGCAAATAAATTTATCATTGAGTCAAATGCTGAATGACGTTTTTATATACTTATTGTAAAGCCACTGAATTGTCGACAGATTTTTCCGTTATTTTTTCAATCATGACAGGGAGCACAAGGCTGTTGAGACCAGTCGGCAGGGGATGCTCACTCATCCATGGCATCTGACCCCACCTCTGATTGTTTGAAGGTCCGTGTTTGCTCAGCTCCAATTTTTGTTTTATTTAATGGACCTTTGAGCTTGAATACTGATCGTTATCTCCATATATTTCATTTGTAAGGTCTCATCCGAAGGACTCATCTCCACATCCCGCTGTGGGATTCGAACCCTTGACACAAGGATCGATCCTTACTCTGCAATTCTATAGAGAAAACTTTCGAACCACTGCGCCATTCATAAACAAGAAAATATAACCAGAATATAATAATATAGGTTGCTGGATGCAATCAAGACCCCCTATTATCATAAACATATGAAAAATATATAAACACAAAAACACCAGATAGGGGGCCAAAAGACGTAAGGGATTATGAAACACGAAACTGCTTATGTGTTTACTTCTAATTTTCAATTATATAGTAATCATATACCCACGAAAACTGAGGAAAACAAAAATAATTGAACTTCGTAGGGGGGTTTTTTAATTGTTTTTGTAATTCTATTTCAAAGGACAAAGAACGGGGAATAATTTTCACACCTTGAAATATATATTTGCTTCCTTTATGAAAACAGCTCCTTAACCGATTCATTAACGCTAAACTATTTTCATTGCTTCCTGTGAATGGAATATTTCATAACCTCTTTACGTATAAATTATCTATTTTCATCTGTTTTATCATCACCCGCGCGTTATTTAATTTAATTTTTTTTTGTTATAAAACACATAAGACGATTCTGAATGGCTGGTCAAACCTACGAAAATTCTTATTGGCTATTTTTTCATGGTATACTCTTAAGGGGGCCGACTGTGGTTTTATTGTGTGAAAACTACAATAGCGAAACTTTTCATTTTTATACCCTTTATAACTTACATTAACTTCAGTGTACATGCAAAGTTTGGGGGAAATCTACCGTCCAGGTATTTTTGAGGGACCTTCTCAAAATACAGGTGAATTTACTATAGGATTAAATAGGAAAATGCCACTTTTAACCCTTTAAAGCAAATTATACAAATACTACAATAGACTTTTTGTTCAAACTATAATATTTGATGAATTATACTATATTATACAATATATGTAAGAAACACAAAATTCTACCGTCTTGTTACCAAAGGGGGCATCTCAAAATGCCAAAAATTAACGAATTTTCCTGTTTTTATAGAGTACTATAAAATATGACGGGCATAAAGGATTCATATGAAAACGTAACAAAAATAATGAAGATATTCTCAAATTTTATGCTTTAAATTTCAAGAACTCAAGTTCATTACTTTTTCTTTAATAACATTTTTATTACCCCTTTCTTTAAGAGCTTCAGTTTATCATAACGTCAAAAACACACCGTAACGACGTCGACCTACGTATCAATTGCAAAATCGGTTAAAAAATCAGTTATATAAAATTGTAATTACATTTTTTATACCTATAATTTCTTAATTTGTTTAATTTTAATAATTAAGCGAAAAAAGTTGCTTTAAAACAGTGAATACGCTTCATTTTACTATGATGCGAGATTATTGCGCGATGGAAACCACAGTCGGCCCCCTTAAAATTCATGTCGCACGTTCATGACGTTTGAGTGAGTGGGTATTGCAAAAACTGGATGTTATAAGTGTAAAAGAACAGTGTACATGTGTTTGAGAAACCCATGAAGTTATATTTTAACTCGATAACGTCTATAATGTGTGTCTTGGTAACAAAATATGTCCATTTCCAATCATATGGCATGAAACTTCACATGTCATCAAATAAATATTTTTAAT